ACCATCAGAATCAGCCCAAAGATGGTACCTATGAGATGGAGGTCAGACTTAGCTCCTCTCTCCAATCTTTTTACCAATTCTGACACCAGCCATCCCTCCCATGCATTTCTCTACTGGGTTCTGTAATTTGTTGCAAAGGCCACAGAGAACTCACAGACCATATTCACAGTTATGGTATTTATTAGGGACGTAACAGGTGACAGTAAGGATCAGGCACAACTCTGGATACAGTTCTTCCACTCTCCTTCTGCTGGCAGGCCCTGCTGGGGACCTTCTGCCACTAGGACCTACTGGGGGCTTTCTTGGGCAAGTGTTATGACTCTTAGCTCTGTGGGTGGGCAAGACCCACCACAGCCATCCTCTATCTCCTGGTTCTGCTGTCTTTGCTTCCACCATTTCTCTGCTGCTGCTTCTCACCTTCTCTCACTGTCTTCTGTGTTACAGCTCTCTCTCTCTCTGTTTTTTTTCTTCTGAGTATTGGAGGCTCTTAGTGCAGGACGCCTGGTCCAAAGGATGTGATCCACTCTTGGCTCTTCTTTCTTGATTGTAGTGAGATCCCCCCTTTTCACCTCTGGGATGGCTCATTTTTAGCCTTGCAGATGGCAAAATTTATCAGTCTCCTCATTAGGTTTCCATACACCTTATTTGTATGTTCCCACCCAACAAGGGTGCCATTCACCTTATTTGTATTATTAGCAAGCTATCCAATCCCCTTGGTGGGCCACCAGTACCTCATTTTCATAGCTCCCTTGGGAAGCACACAGCAGTGGGAGGGGTCCAGAGCTAGCAGGGAGGGGTGAGGACCAGGTCCCCTTGGGGCCTGTGGCCATGGGGTAGAGCAGAAAGGTAGGAATAGGATTGAAGACAGGGCCAGTGGGGTTAGATAGAGGAGGACAATAGGATAGGTTGGTACTCTGGTTCCCAGCAGTTGGGGTTTCCGTGATGAGGTGGTTATAGCCTCTGTTCATCAGAGGGGTGGGGGTTGTAGGAGCATGATCCTGAGGTTACCGGGTGAGAGAGCCTGGGCTTCTCCTGGAGTTGCAGCCAGCAAACATGGTATTACTTAGTTCTGGGTGTGTTGGAGCTGTACCTCTATCTCCTCTTGAGAATTCTGTGGAGATGCCTTTCCGTGTGTGGGGTTGTTGGCTTTATTTTAAGATGGCAACCCTGTGTCATGCTGTTTGGTCAGGAACTTCCATTCCGTATCTCTATCCTTTCCTTGTTTTCTGTCAGCTTCTTCTTCTCCTTAATGACTTCCAATCTACTAAACTAGAACTGATATCTGTATCTGTTTTACTTGGTTTTTCAGGCCTTTGTTGCAGAGGGATGGCTTAGTGCATCTGCCTAGTCTGCCGTCTTGGCTCCGCCAGGACTTAACCCTTTTTAAGACTTCTAGTTACATCTTCTCTTCTCCAGATCTTAACTATCTTCCCATTCTTATGCATATGGGCTTGGGCCTCTGGCTGGATGGAACTAGAAGATCCTGGCCCCCTAATAATCATCTTCTTTAACTGGCACAGATTTTGACCTCCCTCTCCCATTAAAAAAAAAAACAAAAAAACAAAACAAACTCTTTGCCGTTGAGTCAAGTCCTGTCCCCATAAGGGTGCCATACACATTATTTGTGTTATTAGTAAGAAGCTATCCAATCCCCTTGGGGGGGGAGGGAACACAAGCACTTCATTTGCATAGTCCCACCCAGTCTTTTGGTGGGAGTTATTAGACCATGGCTAGAAAGGCCATACAAAAGCAATCCATTGCATCGCGCGTAGAGGACCTATAGGACAGAGTAGAACTGCCCCATAGGGTTTACAGGAGCAGATTGCCAGGTTTTTCTCCAGCAGAACTACTGAATGGGTTTGAACTGCCAACATTTTAGTTAGCAGCTAAGCGCTAAACTATTGAGCCACTAGAGCTCCTTGTTTTACAGATTGTTTTTGTCATTGTTAGTTGCCATGTGTAGGCTCCGACTCATCATGACCTTATATATATATGTATATACAGTCATGCACAATAACTTAACGTCCATGATACTTCCTGTGAAATAGGATGTTATGTGATTTGGACCTTGGGCAAACACCAGCTCGTAATTTGGTCCTGCTTTTTCTTTAAACATCTCAGACATCTTCGTGCCTTAGCAGTGATCATCAACATGCTGAGTGGGATTCTCTTTTGTATTTGGTCCTCAATCCACATCATTAGCAATTTCTCCATACCTGATCTAGGTCCCTCTTGCATTTTCCTTAGCCTTGTAGCTTTCAGTGGAGCCGTTCTTTAATAGCTTAGAGAATTTTTTCTTTGACTTTGAAGAACATTGTGATTGTCAAGTGTGACATACCTAAATCATGATTTTCCACCCTTTAATAATCTTTTGTTTCACTTCCAGATCAATACTACTCCTTTGCCTTTTGCTACTGATATCACTAGCACTGGTTTTGCTGCATTTGGAAGCCATGATGTACTTCACAGTAATATTGTCGAAAGAAAATCAAACAGAGTGATAAAGCTACAGCCCGTAAGATACATAAGATTGCATGCTGCTGCCTATAAGTGGAAGCATACACTGTTGTACAGTAAGCTTTTTAGATAGAAAGTACAGTATAGTACATACATAAGCCAGTAAGGTAGGCATTTATTATGACTATCAAGACTTATGTATTATAGTTTATATACGTACTGTACCATTATACACCTACCAGCTCAATTGCTTTGAATGCCAGAGATGTGAGATACACGTGTTGCATGTGGCAAGATGTTGTATTTGCTATGTCCCATTCTGCAACCGGGATTTCTGAACTCTATTAATACGGTTGCTATGAGTCGGAATTAACTCTGCGGCAATGGGTTTTATTATAACTTTATGGGACCATGGACGTACATGTGGTCAAACATTGCCTGAGCTGATGTCATGCGGTGCATGACTGTATATATGTATGTATGTTATTCTTTTTTACATATTAATTTCTCTGTTTTACAAATGTTGCAACTGAAACAAAGTAATTTGGCTCAGATTTTATGTAGCATAAACATTCAACTTGAAAGTGGTTGATGGTTAACAAGAATCCAAACAATAAGCACTAGCCTATATCACAAATTTCATAGCTATGAAAAAAGATATGGAGACTCACTGGTGGCCTGCTCTGATGGATGAAGAATGACCAAGTCACAGACTGACAAAGCCTCAGCAGCCTGGAAATAAGGAAACCCAGCAGGAGAATCAGATTTCACCTGAACTTTCACAATTACCAGTTCTGTGTGGTGAACTGTGTCTCTCACGCACGCACCTTATGCCAATCCCAGTCAAAAAACCCTTAGTGCTAGTTAATCATGTAATTCTAAATTTTGGCTCACCAAACATCTGTTTAGCTAGGCCCACTGGAAAACAAACTAGTCATCTCAGTCTTCTAAATACTCAAGCCGCTAATCTAATCACTCATTTTATCGCTGACTGGTTGTTGGCCTGTAAATTAGTAAATTTGGGGACCAGGTGTCACCATCTAAAATATACCATCATTTTGTGTGTGTGTGTGCGTGTGTGTGTGTGTGTGTGCTGTAGATGAAGGTTTACAGAGCAAATCAGTTTCTCATTAAGCAATTAATACATATATTGTTTTGTAACATTGCTTGTTAACCTTTCAACAAGTGAACATTTTCCCATTCTTGACCTTGGGTTCCCCGTTTCCATTCATCCAGCTTTCCTGTCCCCTCCTGCCTTCTTATCCTTGCCCCTGGGATGGTGTGCCCATTCAGTCTCATATCCATGGTTGAACTATGTGCGTTATTTAAAATATGCCATCATTTCATTTGCCTTTTCACCTGCTGTCATTCTTTGCAAAACATACAAGTGCTAGGTCAATAAGCCCTACTTGAATGGTTAAGTCAGCAGTACCAGGCAAACAGCAAGCAAAACCTCTAAGATCTAAGATATAATTGCAAGAGGTACTGTCTATGAAGGATGAGATGAGTCATCAGCATTCCACAGCTCATGCAGGATTAAAGTTTCTACTAATGAAAGCAACCCATGTAATACACAAGGTCAAGTCTCCCTTGCAAGGGGAAATAATAACTCATCTTGCTCAATTTGTGGAAGAACAGAAGCGAATGTCATCCATCTGATGATAAAGTCAGCGGCTAGCATCATTTTTCAGAGCGTTTTTCAAAAAATTAGTTATTGCCTGTGGGTGCAATAAAATGGACACAATGAGGAAATCAACAGAACAATTTTACTCCAGACATTAGCCACACCTAGCAGGGCTCCAGTTTGTATGGAATACTGACATTACTATAATTGAGTATTTTATCATTTTGATAAAAAAGTGAAGTTTATGAAACATAATGGGATAAGGCTACTTTTAATTTTATTTTAGCCCCAATTCTGGAATCTGTCTGGGTCTATCAAAAACAATTGTGTAAAATATTTTAGAAACATTCTAAAACCTACTCTTCAGTTGTAAATTGCAGATGCTTTAAATGGACAAACAAACCCAAACATCTCAATGCTATTGACTTATGAAATCTACTCACGTTCTGATTAGTAGATATGGTTTCCTGTAGACATCTCTGTGTGATCTGATGACTTTTGCATCATGATATCTGGCATGCAGTTAAGACTAAATGTGGGCTTTAATGCTATTACCACACAAAGCCACATTTGGGTCACAATCAGTAGCTGACCATAAAAAAAGATTGTTAAGTTTCTCATATAATTTCTTGTAGGTCATTGGTGAAGGTAAGCGGTATGGCTTTACTTCACAGGTGACAGCGAGAAACCTCAGGAGACATTTGTACTTGCATAATTCTCAACAAACCAGGCTCTGGGTCTCAGTGCTGCAAGTTAGGAATCTGTTTTTGTTGACACCTATCTTTCAGAAATATATATGTCATCTTAACAAAACTCATAAGACCAAAATCATAAGTTCCAATTTATTGAGTTAGAGGAGGAGTTAAAATGTCAGATGGACTATTTTTTTCTCTCTGCAATAAAAGTACGTGAGCATTCAGTGCTCACTTCTGCAACCCTTGAACTAAAATTGGAATGATACAGAGAAGATTAGCATGGTCCCTGCACAAGAATGACACACAAATTCATGAAGTGGCCCATAGTTTTTTCGTTGCACATTATGAAGAATTGTAATCAATGTCATTGAATTATACCCGTAAAAATCGTTAAATTGACAAATGCTTTCCTATGTATATTTTTACCACAAAAAGAAAAAAAAAACTCAAAAAGAGAAAAAAAGTACTTGAGCATTGAAATTATCAGAAAGTTTATTGATGAGCTCAGAATCCTGGACACTGGAGTTATTTTTATGGTAAAAATGGAAAAAAGTAAAAATGGCAAAAAGAGTTAAACTCTAGTAGCCTGATGCAGCCTTCTCAATGGATATACCTGGTTGGTGGGCAGATAGGTACTCCAGCTCCATAGTACACTCAATCAACTTAGCACTGCCACCTCAGCATTTGGAGGTGTCCTTTTCTATTATAGGGTCGCTATGAGTCGGAATTGACTCGACGGCAACAGGTTTGATTTTTTGTTCAATCCTGTCAGCCTATTCATGATTCCAGCTTGTATTTACCAGTTCTTCTCATTCTAAACCATGTATGACTCTTGGATTTCCAACCAGTGTAAAATTTGCTTGCACTTTCAGGAAACTTAACATTCACAAACCAGCTTCTTTCTAATTTAACCTTCATCACAATTGTATGGAAACATGAAACTTATGCATATCATTCTCAAAATGAGAATTAGAGAGCAAGAATATGAGTTGATATTTAAAAACTGGTCAATACAATTCAATACCTTAACTCATGTAATATTTTGTTATAATTCAATCTAACCTATAGCTTTTAAACTATGATAGAATTCTGGATTCCTCCCACAATCATCATCCTCGTTTTTTTTTTAAATTGTACTTTAGATGAAGGTTTATAGAGCAACTGGCTTCTCATTAAGCAATTAATACACGTATTGTTTTGTGACATTGGTCGCCAACCCCACAACATGTCAACATTCTCCCCTTCTTGATCTTAGGTTCCCATTACCAGATTTCCTGTCCCCTCCTGTCTTCTCATCCTTGCCCCTGGACTGGTGTGCCCATTCAGTCTCATTTTGTTTTATCAACCTGTCTAATCTTTGGCTGAAGGGTGAACTTCAGGAGTGACTTCATTACTGAGCTAAAAGGGGCCATACTCTCGGGGTTTCTCCAGTCTCTGTCATACCAGTAAGTCTGATCGTTGTTGTTGTGAGTTAGGATTTTATTCTACATTTTTCTCCAGCTCTGTCCAGCGCCCTCTATTGTCATCTCTGTTCGAGCAGTGGGTGGTGGTAACCCGATACCATCTAGTTGTGCTGGACTCAGTCTGGTGGAGGTTGTGGCAGTTGTGGTCCCTTAGTGCTTTGGACTAATCTTTCCCTGTGTCTTTGGTTTTCTTCATTCTCCCTTGCTGAAGATGGAGTGACACCAGTGGAGTATCTTAGATGGCCACTCACAAGCTTTCAAGACCCCAGACGCTACTCACCAAAGTAAGATATAGAACATTTTCTTTATAAACTATCTTATGCCAATTCAGCTAGATGTTCCCTGAGACCATGATCTGCACAGACCTGAACCCAGCAATTTGGTCCCTCAGGCAGCTTGGATTTGTCTACAGAGCTTCTATGACCTTGCCTTCATCAAATTGTGCTGGCTTCCACAGTATTGTGTACTGTCTTGCCCTTCACCAAAGTTACCACTTATCTATTGTCTACTTAGTGTTTTTCCCTCCCCACCTCACCCTTCCCTGGTAACCATCAAAGATTGTTTATTTTTGTGTGTGAATTGTTTCATGAGTTTTTATAACAGGGGCCTCATACAATATTTGTCCTTTTGTGACTGACATATTTCATTCAACATAATGCCTTCCAGATTCATCCACATTAGGAGATGCTTTACAGATTCATCATTGTTCTTTATCGTTGCATAATACTCCATTGAGTGTATGTACCATAGTTTGTTTATCCATTCATCTGTTGATGGGCATCTAGGTTGTTTCCATCTTTTTGCTATTGTGAACAATGCTGCATTGAACATGGGTGTGCCTATGTCTATTCGTGTGATGGCTTTTATTTCTCTAGGATATATTCCTAGGAGTGGAATTGCTGGATCACATGGTATTTCTATTTCTAGCTTTTTAAAGAAGCACCATATCCTTTTCCAAAATTGTTGTACTATTTTGCATTCCTGCCAGCAGTGCATAAGAGTTCTGATCTCCCCAAAGCCTCTCCAACATTTGTTATTTTCTGTTTTTTTTTTTCTTTCCGTGCCAGTAATGCCAGTTACGGTATCTCACTGTAATTTTGATTTGCATTTGTCTAATGGCTAATGAGGAAACTCTAGTGGCGTAGTGGTTAACAGCTATGGCTGGTAACCAAAAGGTTAGCAGTTCGAATCCACCAGGAGCTCTTTGGAAACCCCATGGGGCAGTTCTACTCTGTACTATAGCGTTGCTACAAGTCAGCATCGACTCGATGGCAACAAGTTTTTTTTTTTTTTTTAAATGGCTAGTGATCCTGAGCATTTTATCATGTGTCTGTTAGCTGCTTGAATGTCTTCTTTGGTGAAGTGTCTGTTCATTTTCTTTGCCGATCTTTTGTTGTAGAGGTGTTGAATTTTCCTGTAGATTTTAGAGTTTAGACCTTTGTTGGATTTGTAATAACGAAAATTTTTTCCCAGTATGTAGCTTCTCTTTTTATTCCTTTGCTGAAGTCTTTTGATGAGCATAAGTGTTTAATTTTTAGAAGATCCCATTTATCTAGCTTACCTTCTGGATTTTGTGTGTTATTAGTCATGGTTTGTATCCTGTTACTGGCATGTGTTAGGGCTTCTACCATTGATCCTAATTTTTCTTCTATGATCTTTGTAGTTTTTGGTTTTATGCTTAGGTCTTTGATCCATTTTGAATTAGTTTTTGTGTGTGGTGTGAGGTATGGGTCCTGTTTCATTTTTTTGTAGAAGAACATCCAGTTTTGCCAGCACCATTTGTTAAAAAGACTATCTTTTCCCATTTGATGGACTTTGGGCCTTTGCTGAAGATCAGGTGACCATAGGTGGATGTATTTACACCTGGGTTCTCTCTTCTGTTCCATTAGTTGACCAGTTCCAGGCTGTTTTGACTACCATAGCTGTAAAATAGGTTCTGAGGTCAGGTAATTCGAGCCCTCCTGCTTTATTCTTCTTCTTCATTTGTGCTTTACTTATCCAGGACCTCTTCCTTTTCCATATAAAGTTAATGATTAGTTTTTCCATCTCTTTAAAGAATGTTGTTGGTATTTGGATCAGGATTGCATTGTATTTGTAGATTGCTTTGGGTAGAATTGACATTTTCACAATGTAGAGTCTACCTATCCATGAGCATGGTATGTTTTTCCATTTATGTAGATCCCTTTGGGTTTCTTGCAGTAGTGTTTTGTAGTTTTCTTTGTATAGGCCTTTTATATCCTTTGTTAGATTTATTCCTAAGTATTTCATTATTTTAGAGGCTATTATAAAATGGTATTGTTTTCCTGATTTCTTTTTCTTTGTTCTCTTTTTTGGTGTATAGGAATCCAACTGATTTTTGTATGTTTACCTTGTATCCTGCTACTCTGCTGAATCTTTCTATTAGGTCCAGTAGTTTTCTCATGGAGTCTTTTGGGTTTTTTATGTATAGTATCATATCATCCACAAATAGAGACAGTTTTACTTTTTCCTTGCCAATTTGGATGCCCTTTATTTCCTTTTCTTGCTTATTGCTCTAGCTAGGACATCAAGCACAATGTTAAATAGGAGTGGTGATAAAGGGCATGTTTGTCATGTTCCTGTTCTCAAAGGGAATGTTTTCAGCCTCTCTCCATTAAGAATGATGTTGGCTATTGGTTTTGTATAGATGCCCTTCATTATGTTGAGGAATTTCCCTTCTATACCTATTTTACTGAGAGTTGGACTTTGTCAAATAACTTTTCTTTGTGGATTGAGATGATCATGTGATTCTTTTTCTTTATTTATATGGTAGATTAAGTTGATTGATTTTCTAATGTTGAACCATCCTTGCATACCTGGTATGAATCCTACTTGGTTGTGGTATATATTTTTTTTTTTAATATGATGCTGAATTCACTTGGCCAGAATTTTTACATCTATATTCATGAGCGATATTGGTCTGTAATTTTATTTTTTTGTGGTGTCTTTGCCTTGTTTTGGTATTAAGGTTATGCTGGTTTCGTAGAATGGTTTCAGTAGTAACCCTTCCATTTCTATGTTCTGAAATAGTTTGAGTAGTAATGGTATAAGCTCTTCTCTGAATGTTTGGCAGAATTCTCCAGTGAAGCAGTCTGGGCCAGGGCTTTTTTGGGGGACAGTTTTTTGTTTTTTTTGTTTGATTACCTTTTCAGTCTCTTCTCTTGTTATGGGTCTGTTTGGATTTTCAACATCACTTTGTGTTAGTGTGGGTAAGTAGTGTGTTTCTAGAAATTTGTCCATTTACCTTTGGTTTTCAAATTTGTTAGAGTGTATTTTTTCATAATACTTGGTTATGATCCTTTTTATTTCAGTTGTGTCTGCTGTGATGTCCCCCATTTCATTTCTCATTTGAGTTATTTGTGTCTTATCCTGTTTTTCTTTTATCAGTTTGGCTTGGCCAGTGGTTTGTCAATTTTGTTGGTCCTTTCAAAGAACCAGTTTTTTATTTTGTTGATTCTTTCTATTGTTTTTCTATTCTTTATTTCATTTATTTCTGCTCTTTATTATTTCCTTTCTTCTGGTGGCTGTGGGCTTCTTTTGCTGTTCTATTTCTATTTGTTCAAGTTGTGTAGCTGATGTTTTATTTTGTCTCTTTCTTCTTTTTTCATGTGTACATCTATTGCTATAAATTGTTCTCTGAGGACTGCCTTTGCTGTGTCATGAGGATTTTGGTATGACGTGTGTCTTAGTTATCTAGTGCTGCTATAACAGAAATACCACAAGTGGATGCCTTTGACAAAGATAAATTTATTTTCTCACAGTCTAGTAGGCTAAAAGTTCAAATTCAGGGCATCATCTCCAGGAAAATGTTTTCTCTCTCTGTTGGCCTTCTCATCAATATTCCCCTGGA